GGAGAGAGCATTTGAAAAATACCCACAATGAGAAAACAGAAATAATGTCCAGATGTAGCATCCAAAGGAACAAGGAGGGCAGAGCGTCAGATTCTGTTGGGAGTTAACTCAAAGACAAATCTCCCATACTTGGTTAGCAGAAGGTCACAGGAGGTCTCAGACCGAAGCTACTTAGGTGTGGATGAATGGGGAGGCTCAGGGCAGGGGGTGCAGGCAGGATCCTCTAAGGGGGAGGGTGGACATAGCAGGTGACGAGCACATGTTCAGTGAGTTCTACACATGAAGGACAGAGCACAATACAGGGTAGCCCACATGTCAGTGGTGGATTCAAATGAACATTTTTTATAGAAGTGAAGAGAACTTGAGAGTATTTGAGAGCAGGTTGGAAGCAGCACTTGGAAACAGAGCTTGAAAAGTAATTTAGAGCAAAGGGCTATCTTGAGAAATGACAATGCTGAGAAAGCATAGACTTTAGGGTTTGGGAAAAGAATGCAAGATTCAGGTCAGATTGCTCAGTTTGACTCCATACTGTGAATGCCACAGAGGATGAGAGTGTCTGTGATCAACATGTGTGATTCTGATTAAATTTCTTCCCTTCCTATCTGTCATTGTTGCTTCTATAAGATAGGCATAAAATAATACAGTAAAGGGTTATTGTGAAGAATACAAATAAATACTTTAAAGTGGTATGCAGTTACACTAGTTTGTCATCATTATTACTTATATCTTTGACCCATACTATTAATAGCTTTTACATCCATAGAAAATCACATCTGAAAAGCATCCACACCATTTCTAAGAAGATTTTTCTGAAAAGAAAACTGAATTAGCTGGAGCTCTCCTAAATTGAATATAGTAAATGAGAGTCAAAATGAGAAAATGAGAATTTAGTAAATGAGAGTCAAAAGCAGGCTCGTGAAAAATCCAAGTGCCTGTGAAAAGATAAGAATGTCCTTCCCTTCACTGCAAAACTGAATAGGTTTTGGAATTGAGGACTGCATGAAACCATTTCCTCCCTTTGATAACTACTTTGCTTCCTTTAATGCAGATTCAGTAATCATCCTATGGCTATCCCGATGCTGCTAATTAGTTGCTGAGTTGATGCAGACTCTTTCAACCCATATCCCACCAGGCTCTTCTCTCCATGGAATTCCCCAGGCAAGAATACTGGAGTGGGTTGCCATGCCCTCCTCCAGAGGATCTCCCCAACCCAGGGACTGAAACCACATCTCTTAAATTTTCATTGCCAGGTGGGTTCTTTAACGCTACCACCACCTGGGAAACCCCCTATGGCTATACTGATCTTTAAAATACAGAGCATCTCACATAAAAGGCAATGCAAAGGGACCTAATGCCGTTAATATTTTCAGATCAGGCAGAAAGTTGGAATTACAGAAGCGATTTCTTCTTGCTCTGATAGTAGGCCATTAACGTTACACATCTCCCTTAATCTCACAGACGAGCCTTTCATTTTCTCTTTTCCCAAGTAGTAACATAGGGCATTAGATATTATTTTCCCACTGTGGTTGTTCTGATATTGTACAGTCTGCTCAATACCTCTCACTTCTATTTTGTGGAGGACCTCACTGATATTTCCCAGGTATCAACCACAGGTATACATATGTCCCCTCCTTCACTTGCCATCTCGGGGTAGCCACAAAGCAGGCCCCAATTGTAACATATTTCCTACTCTTAGAGACTCATTCCTATTCCTGTTATACAGTAAATAATAGAGATTTATATTTATATAACACTTTTAGTGCTTCAGAGCCCTTCACACTGTACTCTGCCCATATAGTTTGATTTTCAAGATTTTTATTATAATTTCAAATCCAAAAGGTCTATGAAGATGGGATGGATCCGTTTAAAGCTCCAACTTATGAAATGCTGTTGCTTTTCCTAAATTATGGCTAAACATAACTGTTGCTTTAGAATGGACTAAAAGTATTTCTTTCTGTTGCCATTAAAAGCCTTCCAACCCTATCCTGGAGGCAGGTGGATAGCCTACCAAGCCCCACTAGGTAAATAGATTTGTGGAGCAAAATTGAAATCTAATGATGTATATATTGCAGAGGTATGTGCAGCGTGGATAGGACAACCATCAGGTTGTAAGCCAATGGGACAGAAGTTGCTATCTGGTCAATAGAGGTAAAAAAGTAGAAAGAGGAAGAACCAAGAGGCCAAACAACAGCAATGGGGTTGAATGGCTTGTTTAGGGCAAAACTCTGGAGAAGATTCTTAAATTCTCCAGCCCAGAGAGTTCTTTTTTTTTTTTTTTTAATTGGAGGATAATTACTTTATAATATTTTGAGGGTTTCTGCTATACTTCGACATGAATCAACCACAGGTATATATATGTCCCCTCCCTCTAAAACCTCCCTCCCACCTTCCTCCCCATTCCACTCCTCTGGATAGTCACAGATCACCAGCTTTGGGATCCCTGCATCATACAGCAAATTCCCACTGGCTATCTATTTTACATTGGTATGTATATGTTTCAATATGACTCTCTCAAGTCATCCCACCCTCTCCCTCCCCAGCTATGTTCCTTAGTCTGTTCTTTACGTCTAAGTCTCCTTTGCTGCCATGAAAATAAGACCATCAATACCATCTCTCTAGATTCTGTATATATGCATTAATAAACAATATTTCCACGGGGTCACAAAAAGTAGGACACTACTGAGGGACTGAACTAAGCTGAAATGATATTTGTCTTTCTGACTTATGGCTTTAGGCTCATCCTGGAGCCTAGTATACTGAGGGAAGTGTATATGCACCACAATTTCTTTATTCATTCATCTATCAATGGACATCTGGTTGCTTCCATGTCCTAGCTACTGTAAATAGTGCTACAATGAATACTGGGTACATGTGTCCTTTTCATCAATGGTTTCCTGAGGGTATATGCCTGGTAGTGGGATTGCTGGGTCATATGACAGTTTTATTCTTACTTCTTAAAGGAATTTCCATACTTTTATCCATAGTGGTTGTAACAGTTTGCATTCCCACCAGCCGTGTGAGAGGGTTCCCGTTTCTCTACACGCTCTCTAGCATTTATTGTTTGTAACTTGCCATTTTTGATTATGGCCATTCTGACTGGTGTGAGATGATGCCTCACTGTAGTTTTGATTTGTGACCCCATGGACTACAACCTGCCAGGATCCACTGTCCACGGAATTCTCCAGGCAAGCATACTGGAATGGGTTGCCATTTCCTACTCCAGGGTATCTTCCTGACCCAGGGATCGAACCTGGGTCTCCCACATTTTGGGCTGATTCTTTATCATCTGAGCTACCAGGGAAGCTAATAATAAGTGATGTTGAGCATCTTTTCACGTGCTTATCAGTCATCTGTATGTCTTCTTTGGAGAAAAATCTATTTAGTTCTTCTGCCCACTTTTTGATTGGGTTGCTTATTTTTCTGGTATTGAGCTGCATGAACTGTTGTATATTTTGGAGATTAATCCTTTGTCAGTTGTTCCATTCGTTATTATTTTCTCCCATTCTGAGGGTTGTCTTTCACCTTGCTTATAGTTTCCTTCATTGTGTAAAAGCTTTTAAGTTTAATTAGGTCTCATTTGTACATTTTTGTTTTTATTTCCATTATCCTAGAAGGTGTGTCATAGAAGATCTTGCTAGTGATTTATGTCAGATAAGAGTTTTACAGTTTAGGTCTTTAATCCATTTTATTTTTGTGTCTGGTGTTAGGAAGTGTTCTAATTTGATTCTTTCACACATAGCTTCACAATTTTCCCAGTACCACTTATTTGAAAAGACTGTTTTTTCTCCGTTGTATATGTTTGCCTCCTTTGTCAAAGAAAAGGTGCCTGTAGGTGCTTGGATTTATCTCCGGGCTTTCTATCTTGTTCCATTGGTCTGTATTTCTGTTTTTGTGCCAGTACCATGCTGTCTTGATGACTGTAGATGGCTTTGTAGTAGAGCCTGAAGGTAGGAAAGTTTATTCCTTCAGTTCCATTCTTCTTTCTTAAGATTGCTTTGGTTATTCAGTGTCTTTTGTGTTTCTATATAAATTGTGAAATTATTTGTTCTAGTTCTGTGAAAAATACCGTTGATAGTTTGATAGGGATTGCACTGAATCCATAGGTGGCTTTGGGTAGTATGGTCATTTTCACAATATTGATTCTTCTAATCCAAGAACATGATATATCTTTCCATATGTTTATGTCATCTTTCTTTCATCAGTGTTTTGTAGTTTTCTACACACAAATCTTTTGTCTCTTTAGGTAAATTTATTCCTAAGTATTTTATCCTTTTTTGTTGCAATGGTGAATGGGATTGTTTCTTTAATTTCTCTTTTTGACTTTCATTTTTAGCATATAGGAGTGCAAGGGATTTCTGTATATTAATTTTTTATCCTGCAAATGTGCTATATTAATTGATTACAAATATGGAACACTTCATGAATTTGTGTGTCATCCTTGTGCAGGGGCCTTGCTAATCGCTGTATTGTTCCAATTTTAGTATATGCGCTGTGAAGCCAGCACCCCAGAGAGTTCTATGTGTGAAGATTTTACTGGAGGAAATTCCTGTGGGAAAGTGAAAGAGTTTAAGCTTCCACAGGGAGTCCAAGGTCCTTTAAGGAGGACATGAACATTCTCTCTCATCTTTCCTTTAAACCTTGTGCAACAATGTATCTTACCCAAGAACTGGCCTTTCCTTAGGTCCAGAACTAATGATCACACAGCATAATGTCTTACTCATGGAAATGTTTTTCTTAGGCTCTATGTTAATGATTACAATTGTAACAAATCTTGCCTGGGAACCTGTTTCTCAAGCCTCGTACCCCTGATTACACAGCAACAGTTTATCTACCCCAGAGATGTTGCCTGGAGCCTGTTCGCCCAGGCTAATCTTGTACCAAAGTTATCTCAGGTTGTGTGCCTTGGGAAAGAGTCTGGTGGAACTCTTACAACCTTGACGTATTCTTTTTATCTATTTTCAGCAGCTAGTTGAAAAGTATATAAGGCCCTGCTTAAACTAGTGAGGTGGGCTCTCCTACCCCCTTCTGATGTCTATGTCAGAAGCTTTCTCTGTCCTGTCACTTTAAATAAACTTTTGCACGCAAAGCTCTGAGTGACTGAGACCTGCCTTTGGTCCCGGAGTTAAATCTTCTCCTTCAGAGAGCACGAACCTGGTGGTGCTGTTCACCATAAGGTATCCTCTTGGGAGCTCGTCCGGGATCTTCAAGACAAGGTAAGAATACTCAGACCTGGGACTCTTAGGCTCTTTTACTGTAAAATCTCCGCTTTTCTAACTCAGAAGCATATGGACCGAACTTCTTTTCCTGGTCAGCTTTTCCTGGTATCGCTGACTTTTTAATTCACTGCTTGGGGGATTAAAGCTACTAAGATAATGTGCCAGATTGTAGACTTTCAGAGGACTTGCAATCCATGCTGTTATTTTGTTTTTCTAGCCATACCCGCAATCCAAGTTTTACAGGACACTGCAGACAGGAACACATTAGAGAGCTAGCTGGAGATGTAGCTCCAGGGACATCTCTCAGACTGGAAATCATCATCCTGACCCGAGAGACCCAGAAGCAAGTTCTTGCCACGGCTATGCCTCTGGATTGTGTGGATGGAGACATTGCTGGTGAGCATGATTCCCAAGGACACAGACCAGGGAACTCCAGATTTAGGCAGGTTGGAAATGCATCGGACTTCTTCCCTTGGTACTGCTAGCTCTAAGTGGACCAGAGAAAGCCCTCCAGTGGCTCTTGTCTCAACTCTTAGATATTCATTTTGTACAATCTGCTGGACAGGAATAGAAAGGTTGACCTTGACACTCCATGAACATGAAAGACTTTTTTTCCTCATAGGCCAGCCCTCCATCATCTCCTTTGTTATCACATAGACTCATGTGGCAACTCTCAGAAGGGATACCATGGGTTTTCTGGTCATCCCTTTATGACTTACCACTTCTACTGCAGTCAGGAATATGTTCGAGAATGGGCTCAGGCACAAAAAAAGATGGATGCTTCCCCTAGTGGTCTTAGCTTGGGAGACATTCCAGAAGTCTACTCTGCTCCACCCTGGTGGCACCAGAGAAAAGGGGGAAATCAAGCCAAGGTTTTAATGGTGAGGAACTGGACATCAATCTGGGATGCCATCAGGTCTACCCCTGGTGCATCTTCACCCCTCCTCGGTGGTAGAACGGGGAGGGACGATAGTGAGACACTTGCGTCGGTAAGAGACAGGTTAACTCTGGCCAGGGAAGGAAGCTTAGGCGGAAGACCTGTCTCCACCCCCATCTAGAGCAGGGAGGGATGCCTCCGGTGGAACAAAAGCTGTGGCACTCGATGCCGCTTTTTTCTCTCTTACAGATGGCAGATGGGAACTTGCAGTTCCAGAACCACTCACTCCTTTGAGTTGTATCTTGAAAACCTGAGATAAGTTTGATCCCCAGAGCCTAAAAAGTCCCTTATATACACTCTTTCTTTGCTTTAAAAGAAGACCTCACCTGCTCAGAGAGGACAATCTCTGCTGGGACAACTTTTATCAGTCTGTATACCCCTGTCATCAGAGCCAATTCAAACACTCTCTGGTTTTAAATTTTTATCTATGAAACTATGACTACAAAAAGGAGAGATGACATTTTTTGACACTGAATGGCCATGACATTCTTTAGATTTCAGAGAAAATTGGTTAAAATGAAATCTTTTTGAAACTGCAAAACTGGCTCTTTTTTGCACAATTTCCTTGTGAAATTAGGAAAAAGCTGGCTCGTTGAAATACTTTTTTGGAGCTCTAATTCTGCTTGAGAAACAAAGACATGCCTGGGAAAAAAATCTGAAGTTAACCCTTATCATGTTCTTGAGATACACAGCCCACTCTGTCTGGGACTCCCACCATGAGCAAACTGGTAGAACTTCAAGCCAAGGGAAAGAAAAAAAAGGGCAAAGAGACATTTTAAATTTCAAGTGGAAAACTGTGAGGTCTCTGTCTGTCCAGATTTATGTGTGTCTCAGTGTGTTGCTGTCCTTGGATAAAATTGCTAAAGGCTAATTGGTCAGTGAGCTCTATTTAACTGGTCTAAAGAAAAGTAAATGCTTAAAAAGCAAATAGGTCTAAATTCAAGAAAATTAAAATGAATTTCAGGCATATGTGAACTGGGAGATAGTCACTATTGAATTGCTACTTGGTATTGATGTTTGTTTATTGATCTAATTAACACATTGTGAAGATACTTTTACAAATGACATAATGTGGGGTGATTCATGTTTACCAATCTACAAAATGATAATATAAAGTATAGTTCATGGTTACAATAAGGAATGGGATTACATTTTATTAGGAAAAAGAAAGTAAGTCTAAACTAACAGGTGACTGTTTCTAAATGGGCAAATGGAGTGATAAATACAGAAAGTGTAAAAAAAAAAACACACAAAGGCTTGTGACAAATGAAAGAGAGTTTTATGCATGGCACAAGTTTCTTAAGACATTAAACTGCCTTTGAGCTCTTTTCTTTACTTGGACTAAGTGAATAACTATTGTTTCACAGTGAATGTAAGCTGGTACCAAACTGGAATTTTATATTCTCTCCCTATTAAAAGAATAAAGTTTTCTTGGAATATGGCTTTTGATAACAGATTATGGCATGCATAGACAAAGCTCATTCTGCTTCTACAAAAATTAACCCCTCATCAGGGCATTTTAAATGGATGAACAATGGCTGTAAACCAAATAGTTGGGGCTATGGGAAATCCAAGATGGCCACTTGGCTTTTCCCGGCTCCCTGACAAACTTACTTGTATTTGATAAGAGAAAGTCTTTTCTAGCTCCAGGGTTAATGTCTCACAGTAGATTTTTAAAAAATGGTTAAAATGTGTTCTCTACAATCTCCAGTTATTGGAGCATGCACTTTGCTGGACAGGTTGTACAGACATTGGCAAGAAAACTTCATGAGCTTCTTGGAGACCATTGCTTTCACTGGCATCCTCTGCCATTTCACTGCCATCCAGGATGGCAGAACAAAGGGATTGGTTACATGAGATTAAATAGACTGCTAAATATTTTCAAAATTTTTGTGATTTTTTGTCTGACATATTACTGCCTTCTAATCTTTGTTTTCAAGATATAAAGAAGCTCTTCTCCTCAAGTCAGTGATAGTTTAAAACAATTTAGTGATTTACACCTGTGGGTAAAATTAGAACAGTTTTTTAACTCTCTGCCTCATCCCTTCAGAAATTGGAGACATTTGGGTTCTGAACAGCCTCATCAAAGTGAAAAAAAAAACTGTCTCCAAACATACACAGAAATCTCAGAGTATACTGGGGAGCTCTAAAAGAGCTCTAAAAGAGAAATCCACCCAACTGATGTCAGGCCTACACCATCTAATATGTTTCACTGAATATCAAGTTCCAGTTTTTCTAATTAAGGTCTGTATTTATTAAGGCTCACTTCTTAGATACTTCCTTGTGGTTATGTTACATTGCTAAGATGTTTAATTAAGTTATTAAAAAGGATGCTCTGAGTTTGTTTACAATGCTTATCTCAATAACAAGTCTTTGAATAAAAATCAGATGCTCCAGGATCTACAACCAGGAGATTAACAGCAGGCTACTGTCATTTAACAAACTGAGTCAGATGACCTGGAGATGTCACTGGGCTATACCTAATGGAAGTTCTTGACTTAAGTTCTTATGATTTTACCATTACTGCTAACTATAGTGTTTTCTAAATTGCATATTTTAAGAACTGTTGTCCATTACATTATCAACTGTGTGACTGAGCCACTGATATGATGATGGTGTACAGTTCCTTATGAAATCCACAGTTATAATGGCGTGACTCTATATATGAGAAGAAGCAACAAGAGGGAATATTTTCCTGGACCAAGAGACTAGTGATACAGGTGTGGTCCAGAGACTTTTGCTACTCACAGGGCCTAGTCCAATAACAGCACATTGAGTGGCCTCTCAATGAAATCTTCGACAGACCTGGGCATGAGCCGTCCCAGCACCGTGGGACATGATGGTTATGAAATGCCCCCCAAACCATAGTCAAACTCATGGCAATAAAGGGGCCCTGCTCTGGTAACTTGCACTTGCTGCCTGTCTTTACAAAGATTAACTCATGGACACTGCAGCTGCTGACCTTCAACATCCCCTGAAAGGAGTTTAGGGTGAAAATCAGAAATTAGACACTCACTCTGTGCTCTGAAAAAGAAAAAAAAAAGGACAAACAGTCCTTTGGACAGTTAGATATTTTCAGGTAAAAACTTTCTTAAGTCCTAATTCTCGCATCTTCTCATATCTAGAAAAACACTAAAATTGTTAATGGTGACAACTACATTAGCTTATATATTAATACCACAGTAAGAGGTTAAAGCCTACTTAGACAAACAGACAACTGGCTACCTGTCTATAAGTTTCTCTAGAACAGCTGTCTATATTGGGATTCAGACTCATTCTTCTTAAAAGAAATGATAATGTTTATTTTGTCTGTTAAGGTTCAGGTTGTCACTGTTTCAACTACTTCTAACTAGGTCTGTTATACCTACATTCAAAATGTATATAAACATGCCAATGTATATAAACATACAAACATGTATATAAACAGGGAAGCCCACGTGTTGACTCTGTCTAGATCAGGATCAAAGTTACTACCAAATGTGACCTGATTCTTAGTCTTGGTTGGATCCCTGACTATAATAATTCTTTTACTGATTTTTGGTCTCTGCATTTTTAATCTGTTTGTTTAGTTTGTTCTTTCTAAAGGATACAACGGCTTCCCAGACAAAGTAATGGTGATGCAGAGATTTTGGTCACTCTTCAAAATGGACTCCCCAGATATTCCACTCTGGTCACAGACAGAATCTTGGTTTATAAGCTTTCCTTGGTGGAAAACTATCTTGACTTTGATAACTGCAATCATATTATTTTTGCTGTTTGCTCCTTATGTCTATAACTGTATAATGAATTTTGTATCTAAGAGGCTTGAGGCATTTAAGTTACAAATGATTGTTCAAGCTCCTATGATTGCCACAAGCTCTTCCAACTATTACTTGGGGACCCAGGATCAGAGATCCTTAGTACAACAGTAAGGAGAATATGATGCCTCAACAATTTAGGGTCTGCGCCCCTTGCCAGCAGGAAGAAGTTACAGAAAGATTTCTCTGCCCGCTTCCCCGGCAACCATATTCTCCTAAAAGAAAAAGGGTGGGATCAAAGAGCTAAAGCTTAGGTAGGCAGTCCAAGGCCCTTTAAGGAGGAGGTGAACATCCTCTCTCATACTTTCTTTAAGCCTTGTGCAACAATGTATCTTACCCAAGAACTGGCCTTTCTTCAGGTCCAGAACTAATGATCACACAGCACAGTGTTTTACTCATGGACAGCACAGTGTTTTACTCATGGAAATGTTTTTCTTAGGCTCTATGTTAATGATTATAATTGTAACAAATCTTGCCTGGGAACCTGTGCCTTAAGACTTGTACCCCTGATTACACGGCAACGGTATATCTACCCCAGAGATGTTGCCCCAAACCTGTTCTCCCAGGCTAATCTTGTGCCAAAGCTATCTCAGTATGTGTGCCTTGGGAAAGGGTCTAGTGGAACTCTTACAACCTTGAAGTATTATTTTTATCTATTTTCAGCAGCTAGTTGAAAACTATATAAGGCCCACCTGAATTAGTGAAGCGGGTACTCTCCTACACCATTTTGATATCTATGTCAGAGGCTTTCTCTGTCCTGTCACTTTAAATAAACTTTTTCACACAAAACTCTGAGTGACTGAGACTTGTCTTTGGTCCTGGGATTAAATCTTCTCCTTCAGAGACCACAAATCTGGCGGCACCATTCACTGTTCACTGTAAGCTATCAAAAGAAGATAGATAGAGAAGGGACTGAAAAAAGATTGGAGAGCTATCAGAGTGTGGAACAAACCTGAACAAGAGTGAAGGAGATGAAGAGGGAAGGATGGGAGCGTGTAGCTCCTACACCACAGTGAAATCCAAGGAAGTTTTGAGGGTCCATGAGCCAAATTCAGTCATCAGATGAGTCCCGTGCCTCCATCAATGGGCCTGCCTGACTATCCCTGCTGCTGTCAGTCATCAGAAGGTAGTGATGAACTTCAGGGTAGCACCTGGGCCCTTGGCCAATGACTCTTCCAGCAGTTGGGGGTCTGCAAGGCATATTGTCATGACAGTCATAGGATTCCCATGATATTTACACTTTTGATATTTAAGATATGTAATTTTTGAGAATTATACCTCATATACTTTATGGCAACCAGATACTCCCAACATTTCTGATGTTTTTCAGGAGGGAAGGAAAAGAGGAATGAGTCCCTGCCAATATTCCACTGAAGAAGCTAATAAAACATTGTGCAAGACATATGACTAAATATGAAATAAGATATCTGCAGAGTGGCTTCTCTTGCTTTTCTTTTCTTTCATAGTGATTTCCAAAAGGGAAGGGTTCATGCCTGAGTCTGCATGTTGGTCACAAACCACAACCAAAAAAGAGAATGAAAAAATGGTGATCAATAGTCCTGGTTCTGTCACACACACGTGGTGAGACACTGGAAATGTTACCTCACCCAGGCTTTGGGTTTCTCCTTATTGAAATGCTATGGCTAGATTAGATTATCTCTGAGCTCTCTTTCAGCTCAGAAATGTTGAGTGTTGAATGCTCTCCACTGAAATGTCAAATAATAGCTCAACAAACTAACATATGGATTCAATGTACTTATAATTTGGAGAGGTACCAAACATTTTGTTAAAATATGTAGAGGAAATTAAGCATGTTGCCTTAATGATCCATGAAACCCATGATTGTGTAGGGTCTGGGCAGGAAATCAGACATAGAAATGGTTGCCTTAGCTAACATACGTTCCAGAGTTAAGGCTGTTCCAGACCTGAGCCGCACAGCAAGGAGCCACAGGTTCCCACCTACTGAGGGTCTTGTTGAACGTGTGCAGGCTACACTCTCCTTCAGTCTCTGACATGCTAGATTAAACCTAAAAATAATCATTCTCAGAATATGAGGCAAGCATGACCCCTGATTGCATCACTAATAGAGAGGATGTTTTGTTGTCCTTAATGGAACAGATTTTAAAAATATGCCCCACATTTGAAGATCTTTGCCTGATGCATTTTGGATCTAAAATGGGTAGTTGGTTCTGAGGCTATTCTGACACTTTCCATGAATTAACTGGCTGAAGAGAGAAAGATTTCAGGTTTCAAGAAGTTTTCTTAGATAAAGAAATTTTAATAAAATCATCCTGAATCCACATTTGGAGGTCTATAGCTATTTTAATTCATCCAACTTGATCAAAATACAGTAGGCTTTAATTAAATCAAAACACAATTACAATTATCTTTTAAATGTTAGAAATCAACATAATGTAATTTCTCAGAGAACTAAATTCTTCAGAGGAGAACTCATTAATGCACAAATGGTGGCAATCAGAAGTAACAGACCTAATGATGGCCACATTTTATTCTTAGAAAATTGACATGCTTTAAGGGCATACTACCTAACAGTTTTAGGCAGTCTCATAATATAACTTACTGATATGTGGAGTGGGAAATCTGATCAATATTCACAGCAACAGTAAACACCACCATTATGAATTAGAGGAAGAACTGGCTCAATTAACTGGGGACAATAATTCATAAGGTATTTTTGATGTATCTAATGATGTATCTAATGATGAAAATAAAGGACAACATTTAGTTAAGTCAGTTTCTGTGATAAAACATTATTTATTAAGACAACAAAGATAATGGGGAACAAGCCTGAGATAAATTTAATACCACTGAAAGTCTTATCAAGAATTAGACTAAATATAATTTGATTAAAACACCACAAAGGGACTGAGAATCCCCAGAGAATTTGACTTTGGAGGCCAGTGGGATTTGACTACAGAATTTACGCAGTACTGGGGAAACAGACTCTTGGAGGGCACAAATAAAATCTTGTGCTCACCAGGACCCAGGAGAAAGGAGCAGTGACCCCAGAAAAGATTGACCCTAACTTGCTTGTGAGTGTTCAGGAGTCTCTGGCAGAGGCCTGGGTTGACAGTGGCCTGCTGCAGGGCTGGGGGCACTGAGGGTAGCAGTGTGTGCACAGGACCTTTTGAAGGAGGTCACTATTATGTTCATTACCTCCACCATAGTTTGGTCTCAGGTCAAAAAACAGGGAAGGAACACAGCCCCACCCATCAACAGAAAATTGGATTAAAGATTTACTGAACATGGCCCTGCCCATCAGAATAAGACCCAGTCAGTCTCTGTTATCAGGAAGCTTCCATAAACCTCTTATTCTTATCTGTTAGAGGGCAGACAGATTGAAAATCACAATCACAGAAAACTAATCAAACTGATCACATGGACCACAGCCTTGCCTAACTCAATGGAACTATGAGCCATGCCATGTAGGGCCACACAAGACAGACAGGTCATGGAGAAGGGTTCCAAGAAACAAATGGTCCACTGGAGAAAGGAGTGGCAAACCACATCACTATCCTCGCCTTGAGAACCCCATGAACAGTATGAAATGGCAAAAAGATGGACACTGAAAGATGAACTTGCCAGGTCAGTAGGTGTCAAACATGCTATTGGAGAAGAGTGGAGAAATAACTCCAGGAAGAATGAAGAGATGGAGCCAAAGTGAAAACAAAGCCCAGTTGTGGATGAGACTGGTGATGGAAGTAGAGTCTGATGCTATAAAGAACAATATTGCATAGGCACCTGGAATGTTAGGTCGATGAATCAAGGTAAATTGGAAGTAGTCAAACAGGAGATGGAAAGAGGGAACATCGACATTTTAGGAATAACTGAACTAAAATGGACTGGAATGGGGGAATTAATTCAGATGATCATTATATCCAATACTGTGGGCAAGAATCTCTTAGAAGAAATGGAGTAGCCCTCATTGTCAACAAAAGAGTCTGAAATGCAGTACTTGGATGCAATCTAAAAAATAACACAACGATCTCTGTTCATTTCCAAGACAAGCCATTCAATATCACAGCAATCCAAGTCTATGCCCCAACCAGTAATCCTGAAGAAGCTGAAGCTGAACGATTCTATGAAGACCTACAAGACCTTCTATAATGAACACCCAAAAAAGATGTCCTTTTCATCACAGGGGACTGGAATGCAAAAATAGGAAGTCAAGAAACACCTGGAGTAACAGGCAAGTTTGGCTTGTAGTACAAAATGAAGTGGCGCAAACAAAGGCTAGCAGAGTTTTGCTAAGAGAATGCACTGGTCATAGCAAGCACCTGCTTCCAACAACACAAGAGAAGACTCTATACATGGACATCACCAGATGGAAGATACTGAAATCAGATCGAACATATTCTTTGCAGTCAAAGATGGAGAAGCTCTATATAGGCTGGAACTGACTGTGGCTCAGATCATGAACTCCTTATTGACAAATTCAGACTTAAATTGAAGAAAGTAAGGAAAACCACTAGACCATTCAGGTATGACCTAAATCAAATCCCTTAAGATTATATAGTGGAAGTGACAAATAGATTCTAAGGATTAGATCTGATAGACAGAGTGCCTGAAGAACTATGGATGGAGGTCTATGACTTTGTAAAGGAGGCAGAGATCAAGATTATCCCCAGGAAAAAGAAATGTAGAGGGGCAAAATAGTTGCCTGAGGGGGGCTTACAAATAGCTGAGAAAAGAAGAGAAGCTAAAGGCAAAGGAGAAAAGGAAAGATACACCCATTTGAATGAAGAGTTCCAAAGAATAGCAAGCAGAGATAAGAAAGCCTTCCTCACATACTCATTCCTTCCACAGTGTGTGCTGTTTGTCTTTGTTTGTTTGAATGTAAAAATTAAATTTTTTTTATTTTGAAAAAAAAAAATGAAAGCCTTCCTCAATGATCAGTGCAAAGAAATAGAGGGAAACAATAGAATGGGAAAGCATAGAGATCTCTTCAAGAAAATTAGAGATACCAAAGGAACATTTCATGAAAAGATGAGCACAATAAAGGAAAGAAATGGTATGGACCTAACAGAAGCAGAAGATATTAAGATGAGGTGGCATGAATACATAGAAAAACTGTACAAAAAAGATCTCCATGATCCAGATAATCATGATGGTGTGATCACTCACCTAGAACCAGACATCCTGGAACACAAGTTCAGGTGGGCCTTAGGAAGCATCACTACGAACAAAGCTAGTGGAAGTGATGGGATTCCAGTTGAGTTATTCCAAATCCTAAAAGATGATGCTGTGAAAGTGTTGCACTCAATATGCCAGCAAATATGGAAAACTCAGCAGTGGCCAAGGATTGGAAAAGGTCAGTTTTCATTCCAATCCCCAAGAAAGGCAATGCCAAAGAATGCTCAAACTACCACACAATTGCACTCATCTCACACACCAGCAAAGCAATGCTCAAAATTCTCCAAGCCAAGCTTCAACAGTACATGAATGGTGAACTTCCAGATGTTCAAGCTAAATTTAGAAAAGGCAGAGGAACAGAGATCAAATTGCCAACATCCACTGGATCATCAAAAAATGAAGAAAGTTCCAGAAAATCATCTACTTCTGTTTTATTGACTACACCTAAGTCTTTGACTGTGTGGATCACAAACTTTATTTTGGGGGGCTCAAAAATCATTGCAGATGGTGACTGCAGCCATGACATTAAAAGATGCTTGCTCCTTGGATGAAAAGCTATGACAAACCAAGACAGCATGTTAAAAAGCAGAGACATTACCTTGCCGAAAAAGGTCCATCAAGTCAAAGGTATGGTT